AATTTGCTTGTTTAGAAGTTAACCTTTCTGTTCCAATTTTAGTTATGACAAACATATTTGTATGGGCCAAAGCAGAAAATGTCCGTTCTTTATTATCTTATTACTAAGGGTCTAGCCGAAGTTTTGCTTCAGGGATGTGGACCATATGTGGTGGTATTAGAGGCCAGGGTGCGGTGAGGATGTGGTAATCATAATAATGAACCCGTTATCGGGACAATGTCTTGGGACAACTCTGCCATGAGAATGGGGACACTTTGCACTCTGATTATTTTTACACAAAACAGGTTTTGAAAATAAATGCTTCTGAAGCTTTTTACTAAACATAAGGGTACTGCTACTATTATGGCTTTGTGTAATAGTTTTTATCTTTAAGTTTAAATGAGATAATTTTAACAAGTGGTAAGACAAGTTTTATTTAAGACGTTTCTGCACCTGATGGAAATTTATGATCAGACCGAGGGTGGAAACGAGCTTCACCCGGTGTCAAGGACAGGAATTAAAAAGAAATTGAAACAAAATAAAGACGTCAGTCTTTCGAACAAACGCAAAACGGCTTTTTATTTTTGCTCTCTTCGTAACAAATTTATGAAGAGAAGCCGGAACCCTCGACCACAGAGGAATATTGTTAACAGAGTAATGGTGTAAACAGCGCTGTTTATGGTTAGAGACTTTGGTAAGATGGTGGTAGTTCGCCAGGCGGACTTAGGACAAGTCCAACCGCCAGAAAATTGCCTCCACTGAGAATTAAATTTGAAACTGGGAATTGACTTCTGGTTCTCATAACCTTTAATATTAGTAAATTATTCGCAAAAAAATGTTGTAAACTTACAACCAATCGTCTGCCTGATTTAAATATTCGAAACATAATCGTTCTTCGCAACTTGTTTAAACTAACCCACATTTTCTCCCCCACAAAACTCAGCTCACTGAACATTTATAAACATTTCAAATCCGAAAGCACAGGTTGACGGTCCCACTGGACCCCATTTCAACACCAGGCCGGTTCAACCCAGTTTGTACCCACATAAGTTCCCATTCACCCCCGGGACTGGCGTGGCTAAAGTTAAAAACGCGCCGGTAATCCGCCAAAACCCGTCTGATTGAGCGTGCTGAAATAATTTCTATATGGCAACCTTGAATAGGGCTGCGCGAAATAGTGACATGTATTTCTGTACCTTTAGACTTACGCCCGTATTCACAAAAATTACTATGAGGTCTCACAGTGGGCGTGGACGCACAAGGTTACTCACAAAAAAAAAAAGGAAATCACAGAGCTCTATTCAACTCTGTGCGTTGGAATTGCTGCTTCACTTAAGCAAGCATCGTTTGTGAATACGGGCGTTAGGCTGGGTTGCACCATCGCACATAATTTTAACAAAGGTCAAAAGTCTGTCAAACTCCATAGAAAAACTCCTGTTAATGTTTAGTTACGGAATAAGTCAACTGAGGCTTAATTTTCAGTATCTCCGTAGAGTACTAAGACAGTAAGTCTTTGATCTTAATTTTTCCAAACCTGCAGAGAAAGAGAAGAAACTATGTTTTAAAATCAAATAAAGAAACTTTATTAATTTAATTTGTTTTATTTTAATACCTATTATAACAATATTATGCACTTCTACTTTAAGTAAAAGTCATGAAATACATATATTTTTTGCAATTATACCTAGTTACTTTTCAAGAGCGACTTCACAAAACTGAAATAATTTTAACCCTTCCACTTCTACCACTACATTTTGAATAAATTAACCAGTGTCAGCCTTCAAAACAAACCATTATCTTCCCACAAGGAAGCAATAAAGCTCCCTTGAGAAATGACATCACATGGTGTAAGAATTTAAATAACAATTCCCAAAAATGTCCCCTCAACCCTAACGCTCGCGTGCCGTGTTTTTTTCATTGTAATCATTTAATGTGTGCCCGCGATTGTTTCCGTGTCCTTGGGTCGAAAGGGCCCATTCAGGGGCTCCACCCGGGTTTATTGCTCAATGAGATAATTATGTAATGTCTAATTATTAAATTTCGGCCTTCCAAAGATCACATGAGGTGTTGGGACGGAAATAAAAGGGAAATATAAACCCATGATTTGTGGGTTCTGTTATTTTGGCTCGATTTATTTTTGCTTACAATCAAGGAATTATTTATGAATGTCCATTCCCTTTTCCAATGGTAGCAATATCGAAATATCAAAAGAAATATCCATATTCTGTTCAGCAGATCAGCATTGAACTATTATCGATTCTGAAATAAGAAGATCCGTAAGAGAACCAAAGTAACTGTCAAACTCAAGTGACAGTGGGCGGTAGAACTGATGGCCGTTGGGACTAAGATGTTTTTTTATGGTATGCCATTGCGTTGGGGTAGAAATAATGTGTCATAGGTGAACCGATGCAACGATCTGTGTGCTTAACATGAGTTTACGTTAGTTGTGCTCGCTAACGACTACGTAAAAAAATATCATTAAATGAACGACAAATTGTACAACGCTCCTAGCGGCTACTTTCAGGAACTAAAACCTTCATAGATTTTTTGACGCAGTCGCTAGCGAGCACACCTAACGTAAACTCATGGTAAGCACAGGTCTCATTCAACGATTTTCCGAGTCAAAGCCAGTTACTCTACCCGTTTAGACCCGAGTGTCGAGTCAACAGCCGTCAGGACTTCAAACGGAACGGAAGCGAGTCATGCGCACGAGTGCACCGCCTCGGGAGCTTTGGGAGCTTTCGGCGAATTTGTGTCGGTAAAGCTTGGAATGTTAATTAAAAGCTTAGCGCTAATCGTGTGTGATTTGTCAAAGTATTGGTGGTGATGTTTTAGTTACTTTTATAGAAACAGTGAAGAAGGAACTTGGATTATTTATATTACTTCCTATCAAATAGACAAGCTTATTTTATAAAGAGTTTATTATTTATAAAGCAGGACGATGAAATAGGTTCCAAGCAGATTTTAAATACAAGTATTATGAAAGCCCTACGTCTTTAAAAAAAACTAGTATCAGCACTCATTAATCTTCATCATCATCATCATCATCATTTCAGCCATAGGACGTCCACTGCTGAACATAGGCCTTCCCCGATGCTTTCCACGTTTTTCGATTGGTAGCGGCCCTTGCTGCCTTTATGATGTCGTCGGTCTACCTTGTAGGCGGACGTCCCACGCTGCGTTTTCCGGTACGCGGCCTCCACCCATTGCGGGATCAGAAATCGATGTCTTTGTAGTACCTACAACGTCTGTAGACAATTGCATTCGTGATCGCATCGTTACGACTTTATCAAACTTCACTGTACCTAGGACACTGGGTTATTTTACAGCCACATGTAGCCCCTATTCTGCTTCAGTTTTCATTCTAAGTATACCTAAGTTCATTAAAATTGGTTCAACGGTCTGAGCATGCTAGTTCAACAAACAGAAACTTTAATTTTCATAATAATAGCACTTTGAAATTAACAACGAGGTTTCTTTTAATCAAACTTCTTTCACTAATTATTACCTCGAAACTGAATAAGTTAGCCGTTTTGTTCTAATGTTAATTTTGTGTTAGAGCACGCCTCCATGATATTTCTATAGAAATTGTAATTAAATTAATATTTTCATAGAAAGCACAAACTTCACGCAAATAAAATATTAAAATAAGGAAAAGGCTTGGGCATTCAATGAGTTTAAATATTTTTAAAGGATGATATTCTATATATATAAAAGAAAGTCGTGTTAGTTACTCCACTTATAACTCAAGAACGGCTGAACCGATTTAGCTGAAAATTGACAGGGAAGTATTTTAGAGCCAGGAGAAGGACATAGGATACTTTTTATCCCGTTCGAAATAACAAAAGTCTGCTTATTTACTTATTGCCATTAAGGCGGAACAAAGTTCGCCGGGTCAGCTAGTTAGTTATTTAAAGGACTAGCGGCGTCCCGCGACTTCGTACGCGTGGATCCCGTTTTACCCCCTCAGGGGTGGAATTTAGTAAAATCCTTTCTTAGCGCATGACTACGTCTTCTACCTGCATGCCAAATTTCAGCCCGATCCGTCCAGTGGTTTTGGCTGTGCATTGATAGATCACTATGTCAGTCAGCCAATCAGTCAGTCAATCACCTTTGAGTTATATTAACCAGCGGTCAGGTCAAAGTGAACGCAGCCCGCATCATGTATGAACAACATTGTCGATCTCTATACATTTTGTATTGATGCGATCTGACCTCAGATCATAGAAGGGAATAGATGTGAAACGGGGGCGTGGCGCGTGTCTCCGCGATATGCCCAGAAACGAACATCGGCCGCGACGCCAGATTAGTCGCGATTCAGTCGTACTGAGGAAATATTCTCCGATATTGTTGGATAATGCGTCGTAACGTGCAATAACATAAGTGAAACGAAGAACTACAGGAACAATGAAGTCATTTACCACATGTAAGTATTGCAAATCCATTGGTATTTTGCTTATAAATAAAAAAAACTAAACATTTTTACGAACGAATTCAGTGCCGTGACATTTACTGCGATATCGAAATTAGTGGTGATAAAAATTCAAACACGTTGTACATTGACGATTTAGTCAGCAACCACTTTATGTCATGCGTAACTACTGCGCAATGTATTTTATTTCTTCCGATATCCACTGACGCGTGAAAATACACAGTACGGCCGCATGTGCCGGTCGTAACATAGTGCAGGGCTCGTGTTCTAATACGGTTTCCTATTATCGATAAATAGAAGTAAATTATTATTTTCTATTTTCTAATTTTGAATGAAAAAATCATGAGTTGCTTGCGATTTTTAAGTTTTTACAAAAACAATAACAATAGTAGAAGGGATTAGTAACTGTCAACTATGTAATTACTATAAGAGCTAGTTGAAAGCCTAATATAGGCATTATTTTTGATAAACATAGGCGGTACGAATTTCGCCATAATTAAAAAGTTAATGCGCGATAGTAGTTAATAATAATTACAGTGATCCTGTTATTATTATTAAAGTAAATAATAATATATTACCAATTGTTCACAAGAACATCACTACGCCGCGTGCCCCACCGCCCGCGCCCGCGGGGCCCCGCGCGCGCCTGTCACATCTCTTTTGTTTTTACATCGTTCACATCAGAGCAACTACGCAATTTTAATGTATTTCCTTGTAACAAGATATTCTTGGTAGTAAACCGTTTGAAACACGAAACAGCGTCTCCTTCATCTATAAGAATCCCGAACAATTTTTGGCGACCGTGACAGGACTCCGCAAAAAGGAGAAATTCGAGGCGATGCACGGACTCGACGTGGAAGGCTTGGACAAAATGGCGGCATAGAAGAAAATGAGAAAAAACGGCGGAGGCTTGGCGTTTGGAGCGTTGAACTCGAGGATAGTGCTCGTTCCAATCCTATCATTTCATCCAAGATCCGTGTAGCTTTTTTCTGCGCAATTTTCACCGTTAATTTGCTCATAACGTGTATTTCCCAAAACATTTCTATGTAACATTGGATTCATATAATTTATTTCTTTTGCATTTGTCTTCAACATCTTTTAAACCCTAGTCAACTAGCAGTGCTGCTAAGTCAAAGTGCTTATCCACCCGGCTGAAATTTTCAGAACCGGTGCGCGCGCTCGCACCCAACGCTTTGGCTCGGACCCCACGCTTGGGAACCCCTTGTGTATGCTACGGCACCCAGCAATTATCCTCAACCTTCGCTACTTCACAGCTGCTTCAAGGGTTTGCTTCAAACAGAGGTATTTATAGTGCCTTTTATTATTTTGTTGTGCAAAGTGCGGTGAAGCGTTTTTGTTCATTTCATTTTCAAGTGCAAGTAATTACCAAAGTTTGAGTTGTTGTTTAATTTGTTGCAATGGCTGACGCTAAGGAGCTTAGGATAAAGAGAGGGTCGATAAAGGGCAGGTTGACAAATTTCAAAGGTTATTTGCAATTGTTAAAAGGTTTGACAACGTTGACTGCGCTGCAGACTAAAGAGTTACAAAATAGACTAGCAAAGATAGAAGAGTTATTCTCTGAATATGACACAGTGCAGTCTAATCTAGAGCTTAAAGAACATACTAGTGAAACTCCTTCAGAGTCTATTTTTGCTGAAAGATATGAGACAGAAAATATATTTTATTCAGTTATTGCAGAAGCCCAAGAATTAATTGAGAGAAATATTGTAGATTGTTCAGGAAACTCAGCGACTGAAACTATAAATAATGCAAATTTTCAAAATTCAATGGTAAACAATGTTAAATTACCCATTGTTCAGTTGCCTACATTTAGTGGTGATTTAAACAAGTGGTTGGAATTTCATGACGTTTTTGCTTCTCTAATTCACGAAAATGTTACTTTGTCAAAAATTATTAAATTTCAATATTTAAAGGGCTCATTGATAGGAAATGCTGCTTCAGTAATTGAGTCACTGGAGCTTTCCGATGCGAACTATGATATTGCATGGAACTTGATTTGTGATCGCTTTAACAATAAACATCAATTGGTTCACTCACATCTTAGGTCATTATTTGATATTCCCATAAACAACAAGGAATGTGAGCAATCATTGAGGTTTCTAGTTGACCATATTTCTAAAAATCTAAGAGCATTGAGTAGTTTGGGGGAGAACACAGACAATTGGGATTCTTTAATAATTTTTATGTACTCTGCCAAGTTAAATAGTGTTACTTGTAGCAAATGGGAGGAACACAAAATTAACATGACAAACAAGCCAACATTAGAAGATTTTTATCAATTTTTAAGGAAAAGAGCAGATCTAGTTGAATTGCTCTCAGCGGGAGGTAGTGACAAAGGTTTCAAGCCACCCAACAAATTTCAAAGGGCTTTTGTTGCTGCGTCTTCTGATAGGGCCATGGCAGGCCAACAACAGAGGTCATGTATGGTTTGTGATGGTGAGCATTTGGTTTACTATTGCAAAAAGTTTCTAAATATGTCACCGGAGAACAGACTTCAACAAATTCTCAAGTTAAAAGCATGCATTAACTGTCTCCGTAGCGGGCATTTTGTTCACCAGTGCAAATCAGGGCCATGCAATATATGTAAAAGAAAGCATAACTCTCTTTTGCACTCAGATAAGTCCAATGAACCTGTACAGGGTGCAGAAGAGAGGTCAACAGTTACTAAATCTACTTCACTATCAACATGTATTTCAAATCAAGTATTGTTGTGTACAGCTAATGTCATATTAACAAACAATGAGACAAATCAAAGCCATCAGGCTCGTTGTCTACTAGACTCGGGGAGTCAATCATCATTTGTTAGCAAGGATCTGAAAGACAAATTAGGTATAAAAGGTGATTTCATGAATTCAGTATGTGTCACTGGTATANGTGTTCAGTTTAACGGCAATCTTGTATTATTACTCAAAATTTTAGGTACCTAAAATCGTGTGACCAACGTATTTCGCTTTCTCAATTCAAAATAATTATAAGAAGATATTTTTTTGACTATTGTGTGGAAAGTATATTTAATAACGATGATTTTAGTATATGCTACACACAAATTGAATGAAAATTGTGAATGCAGTAACCAAATGTTTCATTGCAACCGAAGGTGTGACACGATGAGAACGCGAAAAATGACCCCGTTTTTTATCGTTTCATGTGATTTTTTCATATTATTTTTGCGTTTATTACGATAAAATTTATTTTGTATGTAGCTAAATAGATATTTTATCATCTGATTTCAAAGTTATTGTTCTAACTTATACCGTTTACGAACTATTATTGTGTGACCATCAAATTTGAGTGTAAATGAGAAGTACCCACCTACTACTGCTTTTTCTATTTATTTATATTAACCGGCAGACAGTGTTGACTGAGTTTGTTGCGGCGCTTCTTCTCAGCACTTGCCAAATGTTGGTCTCGAAGCGCTGGTAGGGTAAAAAGATTATGAGACATGTAGAGGCTCCTTAAGAGCAAAATATTTGAGGATTTGTAAGAACTATTTAATAGTCTATACAAATAGAAATTTTGACTTTGACTTTGAAACATCCATGATAAAATCTGAAAAAATATCAGAGCCCTTTTCAGCGTGCCAATGAGTGCTAACGAACTGTCAAATTATTGCAAAAACGGTTCTGTTACGTCGCATAACGTATCTCTTTTTATCACACTGTGTTGCTTGCAAGTACACTCAGAAGGATTTGATGAGTGCTGCTGACAACGCCACTCTTGTGGGGGAGTTTTGGGCTGACACTGTGTAGGTTTGTTGTCGACACGACAAGAAGAAGAACACTGTGTTGCTGCTAGTGAGATCTCGCTGTCCCAGTCCTTTGTTGCTCTATCCCGCTAGGTATATTTTTTTGACTTTATGGTACCACCTAAGTAAAGCCTGGTCCGTGAGCACGTAGAATTTTGAAACACTCACTGCGGGCGCTCGTCGCACAGTCGCGACAGCAATATAATTACGCGCGAGCGATAAGGATGGGTAGCTTGGGGTCATTGGACAAAATTCTACGTGCTCACGGACCAGGCTTTACCAACCAATAATCTCTGGAATCAAAGTACCACTCCCCAAGTTTTCAATGGAATTATGAAAATTAAACTCCGTCTAATTGGAGATGGGTCCAATTTCAGGAATTGTAACTGGAATCACTTCTGAAATGGAGTTTTGTGTTCCTGGAAACGAAGATTGTAGACAAATTCCGTTGAAGCATTTATAGGAGTTCGGTAAGCGGCTTAGTATTTGAAAGTTGGAGGCCGTTAGAGTTGGATGAACTATGATGGGTAACCTTTAAATAAAATTAATTATTATAATTTGAGGCGACTAAAGCCCAACGGTGAAGGTTTCGGACTGGCCGGCTCTAGATCCAAGGAACGTTGGTTCGATCCTCGCCGAATTAGGAGGACGGAAATTTATTTGGGATTACCCATTAAAATAAGCAACTGTTAAAAAGAAGTAAAATTCTAAAAAAAAGGTTTCATGTCAAAAAGTTTTCAGATCTTATATAGAGCCAAGCTTCTAACTCAACTCGACCTAACTTCACAAACTACACCTTAGTCAAAATATGTAGCTTGACCATTTCTTTACTACACTGTAATTAAATTTTTCACTTATATCACTCATGTGAGCTACATTTTTGATTTATACTTCAACCACACCAACGCGTGCAGACCGCCATCGCCGGTGCGTTCACGGCGCGATCATAGGGAAATGACAGGTCGCGTGAACTCAAATCGGACGAGAAATCTTCAAGTAATCGGTGAACATCGATTACTTAAAGTTACCTAGACGACGTAATTGTCACAACAAAGTGTTCAAATGAGCATGCTAAAAACTAACTAATCCGAATCTAGATTTATTCTGTGATAAGAAAATGCTTTACGTTTGTTAAAGGCACAGTTTGACACATATTTTTGGCATAATCAGTAATTTCACACTATTGATATTTTATTAGATCTGCTTGTGGTCGGACCAGGAACCGTGATCTCCAGCCCGACCACAATCGTCCTCTTATTACTCAAAAAGTACAAGGCACAAATTCTTGGGATAAGTGGCACAGTAAAAACTCCGTTCCATGTCGTGGTCGGGTCAGGAATCACAACACGTCATTGGCCTTTGTTCGCGCCGGCGATGGCAATCTGCACCCGTTGGTGTGGTTGAAGCTTTAGGTGTAGAGGTTGTGAAGTGAGGACGATTTTTAACTATTTCTTGTAAACATACATATTACATAAAAAAACACCCAGACCAATACTATGTTCATAAATATCGTGTGATAATCGAACCCACCTTTGGCATGGTAGTCCGGATCCACTAGGCCAGGCTGTCATCAAATACACACACCTGGTTACAATAGTCGCATTTCTATCCCAATTCCTGTAATTGCAGTAATCCACGTAATTACCCCAAATATTGGGGGAATATTTATACCACCCAGGTCGCCTATTACGCAACTCGCACGTAGATTAGCGAGCGAATATATCGCGCACGAAAGTAGTTCGTCGTCCCAAAGGTGTGATGTTCGTTCATCGGTATTACAATTGTATTGAAAGTGGTAAACTCTCTCTATCAGTATTATGACGATTGTTTTGTCAGTAAATAAGCTCCTGAATTCCTGATAGACTAAGGTATAATATGTATAACAGCACTACCTTTTACCGTAAATTTTGACGTAGTCCACATAGAGCATCCGTCCAAATAGCACTCGCACGAATAGCACCTGGCCTAGTCCACATAGAGCACCTGTTTCAAACGAGATGAAAACTGTCCTATGTCCTCAAACTCTTTCTTATACTCGTACCAAACAAAATCAGTTCAGTGATTTAAAATGTGAAAGCGTAACAACAGACAGACCGATTTTCGCATTATAACAAACATTAGTAGGGATCATATCAATAATTTCAAGGTAAATTCTCTAACTGAAAGAACTCTTCATTGTTGCCGTAGAAACTCAACTTAAGTTAAGATATTTGGTTGCTTCGAAACTGATATAGGAAGTCAATTAAACGGCGAACTAGTGACGTCGCTCGTAAAAATATTACAAACAACTTTAGCCTGTGACTTTGCCCGCGTGAATCGGTTTTGTCACAAAAAGTCTCTCAAATACCGGGATTATATCTATGAAATGTTTTTTTTTGGCAAATAAACTTTTCGTATGAATAACTCTTATTTTGGCGAAAATTGCTTGCATCCGTTCAGTAGTTTTTGGGAGATGGTGATTGCCTATCATCACCGCCATAAAGTTTTTTATCTCTTATGATCAAAAATACTTTTTTCTACTCTTCACTATTGAGTGCTATGATACACGAGACGTATGGTACTTAACTAAGGCTGAGTTACACCACCTAACTTTGACCGTAACTTTAACGATAACCGTTGTTAGTTATATGGAGTTTGACAGATTTCTGACGTTTGATAAAGTTAAAATAAGATGGTACAACCCAGCCTAAGTTACTAAGATAAAATGGAGGAAATATAATTACTATTTACTAGCAAATAAGGATTTTTGCTATGTAATAATTACTCGTATATCTTCAATATTCCACGGAAGATTCCAAGAAATTAAATGAAATATTTAAACAGAACAATGTGGGCAAAGAATAAATAACACACACAGAGAAGTCGGCTGTGTGTCGCTATAAATTTCAAACAGACTAACATGGGATAGCTCTCTCCTTAGAACTTGGTTATGGCGACACACGGGGAGAAATTGCGGCGAGCATGTTCGGTAAACTGCTCGATGACACAGCTTTTTAAAAATTCTTCTTTTTATTCTTTTCACTCTTGGCAGAACGGTCGTGGTCACGTTGAGGCGTTGTTCACATCGGTTGTAGAGGCGGATACAACTCTCCGCTCGATCTCCCGCCATCTTTCTCTGTTGGCAGACTGACTGGTTTCAAAATGTAGTCTAAAGCAAAAACCAATCGAGTGGTTTTGGCAGTTGGAGTTGATAGTAATGACTTCAACTCTTCCCGTGAATGTCGTGAAACGGTGGATATCGTGAAATGGACATAGGTATTATGCCGTTCTGTACCATAACACAAGTTTATTACTGTGCACTATACTGTACAGCAAAATTATCTGTTTGTATTATTTCGGAAGCAAAAAAACGTCAACAATAAGACGCCTTTCTGCTATGTCCCTCAAAAATCACCCCCGCGATTTAAATTTTCATTCAACTTTATGATTTTGGTTATTTTACTAGAAACAAAATAGTAGTAAGTAGTTAAATTACCGTAATAATTTCTACGGTTTAGACAGACAGATAGAGAACGGAAGTAAACAGAGAGAAGTTCCGAATAGGTACAAACAGGCGTTAAAAACCATTTATTTATTTCTTATTTGAACGATTTTAATAACGCGAAGCTGTGCGCAATACTAGCCCGTGTACACTCACCCTCCTTTCCCCGGATTAAATAATAGTAAAATCGTTGCCAACGCGAAATTCAAAGAGCACCAAGTGGCAAGAGTACTGGGACATAATTAATTTGGGAATTTGCTCGAGACTAAATTATACGCTCGGTTTTATTGTTGGCTAATTAAAAATCTAATTAGCTACGTCTTATTGAGGTAGATGGAAACCGACATTCTTGAGGGGGATGATTGGGAGGTCATAACAAACCTACACAGTGCCAGCCCAAAAGTCCGCCACAAGAGTGGCGTTGTCAGCAGCACTCATCAAATCCTCCTGAATGCAGTTGCTTGGGCACTCAGGGCACGACAGCAGGTGCTTCATCGACTGGGGAACAAAACCGCACCTGCACTCTATGTTTAAGCCAACCAAGAATCCCCTGACCGGATTGTCCTTACTACGGCCAACCTGCGTCCGAAGTCTATTTAAAGACTTCCAGGTAAACCAGGGGAGCTCATGTCCAGGTGGAGGACTTTCAGACACAGGGACAAAAGGGCAGGGGAGATCAGCTCTCTCACGCCATAACCTGCATCTCTCTTTTGATCGATCGTCATGAAGGAGAGGGGACACACTTTTTACGAAATTGCTTCGGCAGAATAGCAGACTTATCAACTCGGAAAGGGATCAACACTGTATCGCCTTTCGCGAGCTGTCATTGCCTTTCGCGAGCTGTCATTGCCTGCCGCTGTCAACCGCGAGGCGAGGCGTTTTTACGGTGCGGTTAAGTGTGCGTTGCAGTATGGAGTTTCATACAAAAAATACTGACCGCCTCGAGTTGATACGGTTACGATCCCTTTCCGAGTTGATAAGTAAGTGTGCTACGTCCTAGAATCGGAGTGCGCACCCATAATGTTGCCCCTATTTTTAAATATATAACTCAAAGGTGACTGACTGACATAGTGATCTATCAACGCACAGCCCAAACCACTGTATGGATCAGGATGAAATGTGGCATGCAGGTAGATATTATGACGTAGGCATCCGCTAAGAAAGGATTTTACGAAACTCCACCCCTAAGGGGGTAAAACGGCATCCACGCGTACGACGTCGCGGGCGGCCGCTAGTGTGATAATAAAACTTACAGTTGTATAAATAACTTGTAGGAAATATTATGTCTTGGTTACTTTTTAAAACGTCTTTTCATCACTTTAATTATGCGCCTAAAAGATGAAAGACTTTTCAAAGAATTCCAAAAGTTCTTAACCATTAATTTCAGCAGAGCTCAACCCTTGTTCCTGAAATATTGCCGCGTTTACATTTTACAGAACAGAAGCCTACATCCGCCTGTTAAAAGGCTAAACAGTTGTCCCGAGGCGAGGCGCTGTTAGAACAACGTTATTTTTCTATCTTCTTGCAGTCGAGGAGTAGGGTGGCCAAGCTTTGGGGAAAAAACGGGATAAGTAAAAAAAAATATAAACTGATTGAAGCTTTTTATTGTAGAGGGCACAATACGATGATGGTAAGGAAAAGTTGAAAAAAGAAAATTGGAAGTGAGATGTTTTAAACGCGGATTGTATCGCCTATCAGTTGAGACAAAAGAGCCACTTAAAAAATCCTTTTTATATTGATGACTAGGTATTTCATGATTTTTACGGTTTATAGGTTTTAGCTTTAACGATTTCTTACCTAAATAGTTCCATTTGAATTCATGAGCTACGCCGAAAAAACTTCATGCTACTTTCGTGCCTCTACTCAGAGATTAAAGCGCTTTTTAAAAGCATATTTGCTGAAAATAAATTACTTTTATGACTTTTTAATTAGACTCCTAAAATACTCAAAGTATCCAGACACAAGTGGAAGGGTTAATGCACTCAATACTAATTAACGTCCTCATAATCTGTTAATTAATCTGTACATAATGTCTCAGTATTTGATAGGTTTAGATGCTGGAATAAGCCCTTTGTGCATTTAATTATCGCATATAGTTTAATCACACTAATTACGAGGATTATTAAACTCGTTGTATATCAAAACGCATTCAAAACTTTTTCATAGAAGTTTAAACAGAATCTCATTCTATCTAAGTGTACAATAATAAAACTACATAGATGCACTTAGCGCAGGATCGGTCGTAGTGGAAATTCTTTGGGAAGGCCTTTGTCCAGAAAAAATAAGTTTTTTTGTTGAAAAAATAATTTAAGTTGCGTTCTCTTTCGTCATAGGGACCATTCCCACGTCTCGTTCACATCGCTGCAACTCCTTTGCAGTCAGGATCTACAGTTTGACCGCCAATAAAACATAATGAAGGTCAAGTTTCCACGGGAAAATTTACATCGGGATTTGTCCCACTGTCTCCAG